AGTGCTCCTTCTCTGCCTCACCCCTCAAATCCTGGCTCATTATCTTGGCTTGTTAACTGACAGTAAACCAGAATCATCCTGTTCAGATATAATGGGAACTTGGGCTTACAGCAAGCCAAGAATGAAGCTGCTGTGTGAATGGAAGAACATTTGATCCAAATTCTCATTCCTGGCTTCATAAACCATGGTTCATCAACTTAAGAAATAGCTTGAACGCTGCCAGCAAATGGTAGTTTAAGATGATGCTAGTGATGTATCTTAAAATGAAATATCTAACGTAAGGAGGCTTAGACTTGAATAACTGTGTAGTATACAGTAGGCATACACTTCTATGTAACTTCTCCCCATGGGCTTATTATTGATTTTAGATAGTAGCAACTGATGACATTTGTAAAAGGAGAACGAAATATCATGCCATTCCACTCTATACCACCACATATTATTGTTAAACTGTTCTACAGGGCAAGTCACTCATCTGACCAATGTCTTGAAAGATGCAACATATTAAACACAAGGCTGTGTATTAAGATCAGTGCCCTGACTGAGTAACCCCTCAATCCATGTGGAACCCATCTTCCAAGAATTGTTTCCTCACTCTCTACAGATTCGTAGCAGATTCATTTGTGTGTATAAAAATTAACACTACTCAGTTATCCTCTCACATCCTACAGCTTAGGGACTGCACACGGGTAACACTTCAAAAATGTAACATTTAGCTGATCAGCTGTTTAGAAAGAGACACAGGGTGCTTAATCCAGTCCTCCTGTCCACCAAACAGCCAATTTGGGGGACTCCCCCTCCCCACACCACCTTTGTATCAGGGCACTGGTTCTGAGCTGTTGACACCTCAAATGTTGTTTTCCCTTCTATTATCTTGAGGCTTGCTTGGTGATGATACCAGAAAGCTAAGATCAGGATCAATCTTTGAGAAGGATCTTATTTGTAGCTTTGAGGAACATTTCTGTAAATGTTGTAAAAAGTTGTAACTTTACTCAAGCTTTCTTTCAATCACTCATAGTGAACAAAGCCCTTGACTTCTATGAAATAATCCTAATTTTTGAAATAGATACACAGCATCAGAAACTACATTAGCGTTAGGTAGCTCACTAGTCTGCTGTGTTGTAGCTTCTTAGAAGATTGGTTTAGCTTCATGACGGTAACTGTCATTAAGTAACTGTAGTGAAGTGAGGTAGGCAACTGCATTTAGGGACAAAAGCCAATTGAAAGCAGTACTGTGAACTAACAATTACAACTTTCCAAAGGTACAGGCCTTTAGCTATTAACTGACTGTTGCTGCAGGGTCTTCAGACGATGAGTGTTATACTTTGTACATGTGTGTTTTTAAATAGTTTTGTTTTCAGTGCTGTTTTTAATAGTTATTTATTTGTTTTTAATATTTATATTTATTGTGTCTTTTAGTTGTAACTGTATTAATATATGCCGTGAGCAGCCTTGGGTCCCGCACTGGGCAAAAGGCAGCATGTAAATAAAATAAAATAAATAAAAATAATATGTATCTATTTAGAACTGCTAGTATGCAGGTTTGCTTATTAATCGTCTGAGCCAAACTCAAGATCCTCTGGGATGAGAGTGTTTAGATTCAGCAGATCCCAGACTTTCTTTCTAAGCTGGGGCTTTGGTAGTGTAAGCCCCTCACCCTGGTTGGGCTGGAGATAAGGTGGTGGAACTTAGAACAACCTAAGTCCCCCAAAAGGGATGATCTGGGAGACAGGGCAAACAAAAACCAACCCGTACAGCCCAGTCAAGGATATGAAGTTCATTGGGAAAAAATGTTTGCAAGACATCTCAACTACAGGCATCACCCCTCACATATATTTTCAGCACTACTTCCCACTATAGAATGTGACAATTTAGGATAACTTTAATTCCCTGACTATGTTTCAGGCCTTTGATTGTGCAACAAACAAATTCAAGAATCTACCCTCACATATTCTCAGTGTATTAGCCCTGGCAACTTGCCCATTGTACTTGTTCCTCATTACTAAAACTGCAAGTTGAAAAGTACAAAACAGGCAAGGCAAGAGATGTATTGCTCTGGGTTTTTGCAGAAATGTATTTGTATAGTCATTTTAAACAACTTTTCACAACATTCCTCATTTCACCACTTTCCTCAACAGGGTGTGTGCCAGCAAAAACATTTATGCAAATATATTGATAATGCACTATAAGTGGGTCTGAAAATGGTACTGCATAACTTGAGTTATCAATCCATATTCATTAGAGGTCCTTTACTAATACTGTGTTCTACTAGTATGTTAGTTATATTGCTATTTCCTTTCAAAAATAAAATATTTCCTGCTATTTTATTGTAACAGTATGTTTAAAGCCAAATGTGTTGTTCCACAAGCAGAAAGCATTTTCTGCTCATGGAAGGGCTATTTATGACGTAGCATTATGTGAAAGAAAGTGCAACACAGTTAGTGCAAATCATTGCACAACCACTTGTGAAAGACAGTTTGCTATATCTCTCTGGTTTCCATTGGTTGGCATTAGAGGTAGCATGAGCGTCACTCTCGGCTTCTATGAACGGAAGGGGGAATTTGATTCTTAAGGATTCCTTAAACCTCTGCTCCAGAGGATTGTGAAACCTTTCAAAAAGCATGGAAGGTGGCTCAGGTTGACTGAAGAAGGAGGGAGTAGATGATGAAAATCACATTTTCCCCCTTTACATTTGCAAGAGCCTCTAGTAGAATAAAGGCCCTTGCAGATGTGGAAGGGCACCTTTGCATCTAGCTCCAAATCTTCCAGAAATGCTTATAAGTTTAAATCACACATTTGGAAAGCAAGCCCTAATGGATAAGGTGTGAGAAGCTCCCCATTGCAAAGCAAACCTTAATGGCTGGGGTGCAAAGAGTTCTGCATTGCAGGGTGAATATTGCAATGTAGAAATAGTTGCACCCTAGCTCTTAGAGCTTGCTTTGCAGTGGGGAACACCTCTTAAACAACATGGGCCCCCATCTCCCTATAATTGATCATATGCCTAGATGCAGCACTTATACACTACAGTATGGACCATACTTTGTTTGCATACTGTGGTGTACCTCCAGGTACTTTGTTCCATGAAGTTTTCAAACAGTTCATGAAACAATAATAAGCATAGTTGTTCCACTCATGTTTCTTTGGATCCATCCCCCAAAGTGTTTCTCAGCCTTAATAAAAGCATTTTCCTTTGGGGCAATGCCCTTGATGTTTCTCACAATTTCCTGTCTTACTGAAAGAAATGTACATACAATGATATGCAGTTAATTATATCTATTTCTAATATTCCAGAAATACTACAGTCAGTGTTATCTATATTTGTTTTAAATACAGCAAATATTTTTATTGTCAAATATTTTTCTAAAGAAGGAAAGAGTTTCATAAACTGCTACTAAAGGTCTTTCAATTTCTCTGTAAAATATGGTGTTGCATCTACCATGGGGAAAACAAATCTTTGTAAGTTTCCTGAAACTCAGCAACCTTACAGTAATGAAAGGAATGCCAAACATTCATTTTCAGAAAGTTAAATTAAAACCATGTTACTACCACCTGTAATTATAACGTGATTTTGTAAAATTAAAACCATAACGTCACTAGTTAAGACTACATTGTTACATATTTTAAATAGCTATTTTATTATGAAAAGGGGAATCTTACTTGTGTAGGACAAACCTCATTATAACAGAAGCAGTTCACAAAGAACCTATTACATCTCAATGACAGTGGAACTAAAATATTTCTCTTTAAGGATAATGCAACTCGACACAAATGCAGGAATTTCAAAATATACTACTGGAGACCGTGTGAGAGATTTCAGAAATACATTTTTTAGCAAAGAAAACAATAACATTACTGGGACTTAGCACAATGCACTGCTGAGATATCACTGATAATAAGCTGTTACAATTAAAAGAACGAACAAACCTCAACATCCTCTATTCTAAATGTACAATACCAAAATAATTCTAAGGCTTATGTAGAAGAAAAAACAACTTGCATGCAAAACAAAAGCCAATGATTTTATTGCAGAGAAATAATTTTAAAATGATAGAACTGCACCCTCTGCTTGTATTTTTAGTGTGCTATACTGGTGATAATAGAAATGTCAGTGTTTTTGTATGTGAATTCAATCAACAGAATTACTGTGGGATATATAATACAAAAAAGGAAAGCCTTTATAGTCACAATAATCTTTCTTCTAATTAAAAACTAATTTCTTTCAGAGTAAGTAACATTGAAATACAGATCCAATATCAATAGATCATAATTCATATAAATACCTTAGCTATATTTGTACACATATAAGCAACCATAAAAAGAGCAGGATAAACTTGCAAATCTTATTAGCACTGCCTATTAAGGTCTTTATTCACATTCTACATATTAAATATAAGGCTCCAGAGTAACTGAAAAATATAGTACTTTATTAAAAGATTAATTAAATTAAAACCTTCATACAATTCTATAATGTAAAATAAAAGTATCAGGTTCAAATGGGGGCCACAAAAATAGTAGGAAAATGAAATGGTGAAGATACTAAAACAGAAAAGCTTGTAGTACAAAATCACTTCAGTTCTAACTTAATATTAATCCTGTATTAATTTGTTACTCATCTCAGGATGACATGTGTACCTTCTAGATATCAATTTTTCTAATTCCAGAAATAACTAAAAGCAGTGTGGGACTTACTGCAAATCATACCTTCATACATTTTCCAGATATATGCTTTCTCTTTTTTGTGATATGATGCAAAAGTCTACTGTAGCAATTGCTCTTGCAATGCAATCATATTCAAGTTTACTCAGAAGAAGACCCACCGAGTTTAACAGGGCTTATTTCAGGGTAAGTTGGTGTAGGATTGCAGTCTTACTACAGTTCCAGTTTTGTGCTGAAATAAGCATATATGCAGCCTCTTTTGTGAGCTGGGGCCTTAATAACTTGACACTTATAAAATCATTAATACAACGTATTATATAATTATTTACTTGAAAACTACATACCTTATTTTCGTTCAAAGCTGCAACTTGGGAGAGAGGAAATCATTTTAGGTTAGCATAGTTCGAGCATCTCTGGAACATATCACTGTAGCTTTACTGTATTTGATGAGCAGTTTTAACTGATTTGCACTAATTGCTTAAATGGCCGCTTTTTCTTTCTTTTTTGGAATACAAAAATTGCCCTATGCCCAACTTTCAATCCCAAAACATTGATATATTACATAACAAATGCTGACCACTGTTTACTCTGATAAAATTCAAACTGTAACACATCATGCCTCTAAAGGCACTTCCCTAAGATGGAAATAAACACTTTAGGCAGGTGAGCCCTGTTCATTACCTAAATACAGCATGAAACACAAAATGTAAATGTAACCATTAATCATGCGATAACCCTTCTGTATGTTATCGATCCAGCTGTAAATTACCTCAAGTCCAGCCATAGGTTGCATCCATTTTCATCCTTTTCACTTGTCTGCTTTCATAATAATATTGCTGTCTTAACCCGCCGTCTCCCACTATCTAAGTAATAAACCAGGGCAAACGCAAATGTTGACATTGCACCTTTTAATAACACCAGGAAGTCACTTCATGCTCCTCTTTTAAGCCAGAGGGAGAGAGTCAATAACAAAGGAAAAGCTGTAGAGACAAGGCGTATGAAAAATATATATACATTTTTATTTCTTCCTTACACACACATACATATAAACACGCTCGCCCACCCCTAATGAGTAACACTTCGGAAAGAGGAAAAAAACAAACCAAAACCACGCATGACATTGCAACTTACAAGCAGATGGGAATCTGTAGCATTTAAAGGCGACAAGGAGGCATGTGGAAGAAGAGAGAAAGCCTGGAGAGGACGGGCCCGACCTGCTCACCCCCCTCCCCCAGCAGGCCCTGGCACGGCGAGGGCCGAGAGGAGCCTCTCACGCCCGCCTCGCCCAGTGGGGCCTGCGGTCCCTGGGGGCATTTTTTTTGCCTCATTCGGTTCCTAGTTCGGCTACATTGAAACTGAGCAACTTCCAGCGCCACCGCCGCCAAAGGGCCTCTCTCGCGCACAACCCCCCCCCCGCTTCCATCGCTCCTCCCGCCTCCGCGCGCGCCGTATCCCTCCGCCGCCGAGGCCTCCCAGCCCTTCTCTTACAGAGAAAGCGCCTTTCAGCCGAAGCTGCCCGCCCACCCATCCACACCCCGCCTCTGCCCGCTCGCTCCGACATCTTCGCTCGGCTTTCCCCCCCACTAGTCCGGAGCGAGCTTCAGCTCGAGCGCGTTGTTTTGTGTGGGGAGGGGGGGGGGAGGAGGAGGGGGAAAAAGAGAGGCAGGGCTCTCTAGGGCGGGGAGCGCAATACCACCACCACCCAACCCCGGGGAAGGCGACCTGAAGGAAAGGGAGTGAAGGGGGTTGAGGAGGGGGGGCGTGTGCGTGTTTGTGTGTGCGCGCGCCCGCCCTGAGGGGAGGGGGGCTGGGACTCTTTGTCTCGGCGGAGGGATCGCGTTCTCTACTCCGCCCGCTCTCTCGCTCGCTCGCGCCCGAAGCTGGCTGGCTGGCTGGCTGACGAGAGAGGCAGCAGCAGCAGCAGCAGCGCTTGGGTTGGCGGCGGGTTTTGCTGCGAGTTGTTGTTTCCTCCTCCTGCTGCCGCCGCCGCCGCTACTGCGCCCGGGGCTTGAATGGTGGAGCCGAGCGCCTCGCTGCTGCGGCTGTTGCCGCCGAACAAACAGTGACAGCTCCCGGGCGAGCGCCGTCGTCGTCTTCGGCTCGCAGGGCCCCGCCGCCGGGGGAGCTCGGCCTCAGCCAGCCGGGCTCCTCTCGCTCGCCATGTCCGGGGACGGCGGCGGCGGAGGCGGCGGGAGCAACAACAGCGGCAGGCACTCGGCGGAGCTGCGAGCGGGTAAGTGAGGGGCCGGGCTGCCTCCTCCTCCTCCTCCTCCAAGGCCGTGTTTCTCTCCCCCCCCCTCACGGCGCGTGTTCGCCTTTCTCAACCCCCCCGTTTTCGCCCTTCTTCCCACCCCCCCTGCAGAGCTCTATTTCCTCATCGCCCGCTTTCTGGAGAACGGACCCTGCGAGGAAGCGGCTCAGGTAAGCGCGCTGGCGCCGGGGTCTGGGCCTGCGGGGTGGGCTGCCGCCTCCTCCTCCGGCTTCTGACGGCCCTCCTTCCGCTCCTCTTTTGTTGCTCCCGCAGGTCCTGATCCGAGAAGTCGCCGAGAAGGAGGTAAGCGCTGCGAGCGCCTTCCAGCCCGGCGCTCTCCATCCGCCTCAGCGCCGGCGGCTGCAACGGCCTCGCCTCCTCCCCTCCCCTTTCCTCCGCCATCCCGGGCGGGCGGGCGCTGCTGGGGCGTCGGGAGGGGGGGTGGGGTGGGGGGCGGCTAGTAGCCCTCGGTGACCGGGGTGTGTGTCTTTTTTTCTCCCCCCAGTTGCTTCCTAAGCGCACGGACTGGACGGGGAAGGAGCATCCCAGGAGCTACGAGAGCCTAGTAAGAGAAGCGGCCGGTCGGCGTGGTTGCGATGTGATGTACTAGGGAAAGTTTGTGAGCAGCCCTTTAAAAATTGAATTTCCCGCAATTTTTTTTTAAAGCAACTTAAAAAAAAAATAGGAGCCAGTTTTTAAGCTCCCGGTTTTTGCTTCCTGGACGTGGCGGTGTGTGTTGTTTATAAGAAAGCAGATGGTGCCTCCGAAGTCAGAAATCTGGGGTCCCCGAGTTAGGGTAAATAATAATAATCCTACTAATGCGAGAGCCCTAGAGTCACTATGCTAGAAATAAAGGTACGTCATGGATGTTGTGCGGGGAAAGCGAGAGAACAGGGAGGGGAGGAGCAAGCAGGAACTGCTTGCGAGAAGCAGGCAGGCCTGTAGGAGATGGGGGCGCTCTATTCCATGCAGTCTCGCTTCACATACACAATGGGGCTGAGCAGATATTGAGCAACTGTAAGCAGGCTTTATTCAGGGAAGCCCCACAACTTCCTTAAGCTTTTATCTTTTGCTTGGAACATAACTAATAAAAGCTGCTTTGTGGTTGTAGTCTCAGTCAGTATATGCATACAGTAATCTGCTCTTTGTGTCCGAGTTCTGGTAATGTGGAATTTCAGAGCAGAACGTTAGTTTTAAAAAGAGTTCTGTTAGGCAGTGGCAACTTTGTGGACTAGCGTGCTGTTTTATGGAACAATTATTGTGCGTTCATATATCACTTTGGTTGCAGAATTTGTTTTTTCTGTCCTGCGTGTCATTCTGCTTGTCAGTTTTAGGTAGGCTTTGTTTTTTACTCTTGATTGAAGGAGTGCTTGCTTTAAAACAAGTCAGGCTAAACTAGAAGAGGCACTCAGATCTGGTTTTTTTGGGGGAGGAAGTTCAAAGTAGCATTTAAGATGCCTGCAGGATATATTTTACTGTCCACCCTTTTCAGGCCAAGTAGCAGGTGGGTGAAGAGTTGTAGATCAGGGAAACAGTACAGAGGTGAGAGCTGAACATCTTTCCCAGCAATTTCACTCCTTCACATAGCTGCTTGTAAAATGTGTGAGAGAGAAATCTGTGAGAAATTTGATCATTTAGCCTTCAGTGGTTTTACTAGTTGCGTCTAAATCAACATTTCTCAAACTTCCAATAGTTAGGACACACTTTTTATGATTTGATCAAACTGCGGGAGGCAGTGGAGGACAGAAGTGCCTGGCGTGCTCTGGTCCATGGGGTCACGAAGAGTCGGACACGACTAAACAACAACTTTTTATGAGCTAAAATTTGAATTGTGCCATCATTTGTACACTCCCCAAACCATACTTTCATAGTATATTGGAATAAGAATTATCCACTTAAAGAACTGTTCATCTTGTGTGTTTATTTGAGTGAGTGATCTGGCCATGCCTCCCTGACTGAAAGCAAGCAGGGCCAGAACAGTGACTCATACAGGACAGGCACAGCTAGCTGCAACATCCAAGGGCAGGTAGTTCTGCTTTGTTTCTCAGCAGGAGTGACTGAATGATAATCACACCCAAAATTTCCAGTGCCCAGTGAAGTCTTTATTATAAGGGCATAAGGCCAAAGCAGTAAATTATGCAGAGTTGCAGTGGTCTGCCTCTTTTCTGAGTGGGTACTATTGGCTCACAGAAGCTTTTAAAGTATTTTTGACATTCTAACAGTTTCTTATGCAATGCCAGTTTTGGCATGGTCCTGAATATTTTTAATATGCTAGTAGTTTAGATCAATAAGCTGGAAATGTTTAGTGAACGATAAATGACTTGTTTTCAAGTCAATCTTTGGCTTTACTTGCATGTTAAACTACTACAGTTGGAATGTTCTTCTTTATACATCCATTGCAGCATGTGAGTGATATCCCTGGAGAGATAGCTCTCGAGTGCTTATGTTTTCCAGTGTTGTTAATACTTGAATGAGGCACAAAGGCACATGGAAGGCAGCAGTGTCTTTGGAAAGTAAAGTTTATGTATAATCACCTTATTTTTTTAAAAAATAAACAAGTGTGAAGTCCTGGATTTTTTTTATTTGTTGGCTCCCTGCCCCACCCCCCAAAGTTATGAAGCCAGAAATGTCTCTAGGCTCCTGGTTACCAGTAAAACAGCAGACTTTTATAATGGCACAACATGATTTGAGGTCATGTTTGTAAAGTTCAGTTTTAACAAATTCCAAAAGTGCTATGACTTGACACTGAAAGAAGAGGTGAGGTGAGGAATCATAGGAGTGGACTCCTTAAAGAGGAATCAATACTCCTACAGTTATTTAACTCTTCTTTCAGTACAGAACTGAAGTGCTTTTAAGAATTTGGACTCCAGCTCTTCTCAGTCGCAGCCAGCATGGTTGGGGATAATGAGAGTTGTGCTCCAGCAGTATATGGAGGGCTCAGGTTCTCCATCCCTGCTTTAGATCAATGTAACTTAATTTTAAATACTGTAGTGTTGATGAATTAACTGTTCTTCATTCCCAAAGTTATATCCATGTTGAACATAAAAACGCTGAATGAAATTGCTTGTATGTTTCACTTTCTAAGTCAACAGCCAAATTCTGTAGTCTAACTAAGCAGATTACTGGTACGTGGACTCTTATTACAAGCAAAACAGTTACCACATATTTAGCCAGCAGTGCCCAGCTCTACCAGTATGAAATAGCAGAATTAAAATAGTGTTAAGCAAAATTGACCTGTAACACACCTATCTGGTTTTTCCCCAATTGCATAAGTTCTCAATCATTCATGTTGCAATGAAACAGTTCTAGCAACACCATAGAGAAGACACTGCTTGGGATGGCTTGGTGCCATTGCAGACAGCCAGTTAGATAATTCTCAATCGTAGCCAGTGACCAGGACTGAAACCATAGGTTAGAGTTTTACAATATTAAATGAAGGACGAAAGTCCAAATTCTATTCTTCGTAATTGATGCCATTTATTTCTTATTAAGGACGATTTTTGCATTGCTTAATAAGAAGAAAACTCTGTGATGTACATAATAAAATTATCAGCAAAACAGATAAACAAGAAGTTGTTAAACACACATAGATAACTAAATTATATGTCTGGGTAGGCTTGCTGAAGTAAAGTTTGTCCCATGCTCACTCTGGATTTGAAGTTGAGCCCAGTTTAATTTTTGTTACAGTGAAATTTGTGGATACCTACATTAAAATACATTATTTCTACATTGTAAAAGTATGTGTGTGTGTGTTAGAGAATGAATGAGAAGGAGGAGGCACAGTCTTTCAAGAAAAAATAGTGAGACTAAAGTGAAGGGTTAGTCAGTGGCTGATGCAGTATTGGGATCTAATCTGGCTCCTGATAGACATTGCATTGATTTTTTTAAAAAATAGAATAATCTTATATTTATTTTAAATTGGGTAATACAGAAGCAAGGATGAAGTTAGCCTTTCCTTATAAATCTGATACACACATTACTAATCACATGAATTCTTGCTAGCCTGTCTGTTCGCACATACTACATACTAATTTGTGTCATATTAACTGCTTGAAGAAAGATAAATAATCAGACCTTAAAATTAAAAAAAAAAAAAAACCCCTTCCTTCTCTGACAAGGGTTATTCTTAACTGTAGCAGGCAGCCTGACAAGTAAGTGTTGTCAACTCAAATGAATAAATTCAGTAGTCATTGGGATTAGAATCCTGTTTCTCATTTGGAGACTTCCTAAACACCCTCAGCTTATTCCTGGATCCCTGAGGTTTTGGGTGATGTTGTCCACCTTCAAACCATAGCTCTGTGGGTAAAGCATGTAGCTTAAGGCCTCAGGGTCGTGTGTGTCTGGAGACAAATCTTGAAGACACTGGAGGGAGCTATGCTGGTCAATATGTTTGGATTTAACAAGTGATCCAACACAGTATTATTGACTCCTTACACCATTAGTCCCTTTCTTCCTCATCTTTCCACTGCTGTCC